CCCCAAAACCCCAAAACCCCAAAACCCCTGTTAATGTTTATAAGATTGATTATGAAACATTTACAAAACCGAACCATATTTTGTTCGAACTAATTACCCCATTTTCCAGTCGGAGGTCTCTCTTCACTTGATCAATCACTGCCAGCTACAAAGTTTACTCTAAAGGTTAATATACATCAAATTACTTCAAGGAATAGTTCATCTTATCAACAATATTAGAGTTTTTCAAATCTTTAGAATCTTGGAGATTATTTTGATATTCCTGAATAGACTCAAAAAGATCCTTATTAATCCTGGATTCTACCGATGCATTCTGTAATCTCTTATGCATAACCCCGGTATTTTTCGAGTGTGATAGAACTCTCTTCTTCAGATTTCCTAAATCAGTATTAATTTTGCTCAAAATCCTCCAAATTCTGCCTGATTTTCCATAAATTCTGATATCTCTTACTCTTATTAAAGTTAATCTTGCCGAATGTTCATCCTAAGGTGTCGAGCTTGCTTTCTAAACATGACTACGAAGGGTTACTTTTAGCTTTGCCAAGACCATCCCTACCAATACTTTCCTCTATCTTGATATTGCCACATAGCTCTGGATCTAGGTCATTAAGCAAGGTCCCATACCAGGTTTGAAGCTGCCATTCGAGAAGGTAATATTCTTCCTGTTGGAAGACTTCCCCTGACTCTTGTCATACACTTGATTGGAGTAATACTTAGATGAATCCAAAGTTGTATAATCCTGAGAGGTCTTATACTCCTCAGTGCTCTTGTTCATGTTCTTATGCGTCTTCCTGATCTTAGCAGAACTCTTTATGAACGTTCCGATTTGCAAACCCTCACTCGGTTTGGAGTCAGAATAAAATTGATTATTTTTACTCCCATAAATCATGAATTGGCTAACTTCTATATTCCTGCTAGATTTCTCCTGACTTGGAAACCTATGAGATTAGAAAGAGGCTTATACAACGGCTGGATAGTTTCAGAGTCATCGTTGACCTTGGAGAATTTGCTCTTCCTCACACTTCTAGGAGGATTATTGAAGGGGTTCCCTTGTCTTGGATTTTGAAGCATCTCTAGAGAATAACAAGTTATACAATACCTTTAAGTACAGTCTGATTATTTCTCCGTCCGATTCGCTTGATATTTTTAATCCCTTTGTTAAGGAAAACTTTTGGCAACTTTGAGCTCGGAGAAATTACAGGAAATCTCCGGGATTGTACAGCACCCTCACTTTTCTTTCCTTCATCATCAACATTAATGTTGCTCCCTCTTGTTGTACATTCTCGCTTTGGCTTGTACAAATTCTTGGACATATCTTGATAGTTCTGGTCGCGAGTAGAATGAATAGCAATCTGTTCAGGACTATCAATGGAAGAGATTTTCCTCATTAACCTATTAGTATTATTCACATCGTCAGGATCTTTAAATAGAATACTACTTCGAAGAAGGTCCTGAGTAGGAGAATTTAAATTCATTTGTTCATGCTTTTTGCTTTGGTATCGAGCCTGAGACCGAATACTTTTCCTCTTATCACCATAACTCTGCTGTCTCTTTAACGATAACATTCCTGAGCCTTTATGAAATCCTTTAGTCTCAAAGAGCTTTTTCTGGCTCATGGCTCTGCTAACCTGCTCATCTGCATTAAGAAAATCCTCTCTTTCTTTGCTAATCTTTGATTTTTCAGCCTGGCTCACTTCAAATTCACTGTTATGTTTATTTGTATGGTAATTAAACGGGTCCTTTTCAAGACTATACCCGATTTAGACGCAAAATACCTTTTTGAGATAATCGACCGTTTATCAATTCTTCTTCGAAGAATTCTACTTTTAAATACAGATCCTCTTGGTTGCTAATTTACCCTAAACAGATAGTTAGGCCAAAAGCAGTGCCAATAAGCACTTTTAGTAAACGAGGATTAAGATATTAAATTTATTTTAAGAAACTGGCCAAAATTACAGAAATTGTATCCCCAAACTGTATTTTTGGGCTTAAAGGAAGTGAATCTAAGAAAGATTCAGGATCTAGGGAGCTAATAGGCTATATTGGCAACCAAACCTAAGCCCTTTTAATGAGAAAAACATCTTCTGAGTTGTGAATATAATCTTTTCTCAGGTATTCCCATAAAAATTCCTGAAATAGATGTTCATAAATTGGTGCAAATATTGGTCATAAGAAGTACCATTCTTCTTATGAACCTGGAGATATCTATTAGGAAAGAAAAACATTGTCTTAATTTATTAACACTATACCTTAAAACTAGCAATATTGTTATCAAAATTACAGTTATAAGCCTCAAAAATATAGAGAATTTTAAGCCAGAGTATTTGGTTATAAATCTGGCATGATGTTCAAACACTACAATAAAAGCCATACCGAGTTGTTAAAGGGGTAGCCCTCCTTAATGATGTCCTCTTTGTTCAGATTTCCCTCGTTATTAGCAAAAGTCATTAACATATCTAATATTTTATTATCAAATTATTATTCTTTCTGAGGGGTTTTGGGGTTTTGGGGTTTTGGGGTTTTGGG